CACAATCAGTTTTAGAAATCTGTGTTAGACCATAAATAATCTGCTGTAGAAGTGCTGTTCTTTTTTTGATTGATCATACAGGAGTCTAGATGACAAGTTCAGTATAGACACCTGCATTTAGCCAAATGAAGTTTACTTTCATGTCTTTGATCCTTATTTTACTTTGCAAGGTTTTTTCTTTCTCTTCTGTGTGCATGTATAAATCTACGTGCTGTGTAAGACACTGACAGGAGACAGTGATGCAGCCTTTTGAGTAATTGAACATTTTCATATAAAAATTAAGAATTTCTGAAAATGTTGCAGGTTTCCATGGGATCCAACTGGAACAGCAAAGAGAGCCTGAATTAGTTCTCCTTTTTTTCATAGAATGGTTTGAGTCGGAAGGGACCTTAAAGATCACCTAGTTCCAACCCCCCTGCCACAGTCAGGGACACCTCCCACTAGACCTGGTTGCTCAAAACTCCATCCAATCTGCCCCAGGGATGGGGCATCCACAACTTCTCTGGGAAACCTGTTCCAGTGCCTCACCATCCTCAGAGTAAAGAATTTCTTCCTAATACCTATTCTAAATGGCAATTTAAAATCATTACCCCTTGTCCTATAACTACCCTCCCTCATAAGGACTCCCTCCCTGTCTCTCCTGTAGACCCTTCAGGTACTGGAAGGCTGTTATAAGGTCTACCCAGAGTCTTCTCCAGGCTGAACAACCCCAACTTTCTCAGCCTGTTTTCATAGCAGAAGTGCTTCAGCCCTCTGATCATCTTCATGGCCTCCTCTGGACCTGTTCCAACAAGTCCATGTCTTTTTTGTGCCGAGGTCTTCAAAGCTGGATGCAGTTCTCCAGGTGGGGTCTCACCAGAGCAGAGCTGAGGGGCAGAATCACCTCCATCACCCTGCTGGCCATGCTGCTTTTGATGCAGCCCAGGATGTGGCTGGCTTTCTGGGCTGCGAGCACACGTTGCTGGGTCATGTTGAGCTTCTCAGTTTTCCCCTTCCCAGTTTTCCTTAATCAACATAAATGCTCTTTAGTTGTATCTTCTTCATCTTTTGTGTCAACTGTACACCTGCGTTAGCTAGATTTATTGTCACTGCATGATTTTTAGCATAATATAGTTTCTCCAAGAACATCCTGACCACAATTAAAGTAGAGGGTAGTCTCTGCTCCAGGCCACTGGCAGCCATGAATAACAACAGCTGTGGTTAGCTTCAGTCTAGCTCTGATCCTTCAGAAGAAATCACAGGGTCCAGCCAACCCTAGGATTCAGCTCTAGTGTAACCAAGCCACAGATTTTACAGTTAAAATACATTGAAAGTAGTGAAGACAGCTTTCTAGTCACTCGGTTTCTGACACTGCAGAATGTCTCTGTTTTGTATTAGAACACAAGGTCATTAGTGTTCTTTGGTCAGGAATTATGTCACTCTGCTTGGTGGTCGCATTGAAGTGCTTTTTTGGTAAGTGTGACCTCCACAGGCTTCTGAACTCTCAGTTCCGTCCCTTATGATTATCTCTTGTGTCGCTTTAAATATTAATGGCACAAAGCCGTCCTTGTCTGCAGTGAGCACAATCCAAGAAGAGCCTGCAAAAATTAAGCAAAAAAAAAAAGAAAATGAGTGTATTGCTCTGGTTACGTAAAATGTACAAGCACGTTTTAAAAAGTCAGCCAGCACATGAGCAGAGCAGGCTTTCTTTTTGTGCACTAAAGCCTTATTACGCTAATGACATTAAGGTCTGACAATCCACATTAAACACACCTTTGTGTAAATGTGGAGGGGGGGCTAAATGAAAGGTCTTGAAAGGTTTTAAGTATTTTGTCCCTTATTTAAATTAAGTTGAAAAACAAAGTGGATCTTTGCTAGTTCTGATAAACTGTACGTCTCTATCTCCACTTTCTGAAAACTCAGCCAGCCTTTCCATGCTGACTTTTGTTCTAGTGACATTTACTTCTGCTTATCCTTTTTACTCTTTTGCTCTACCCAATTGATGAAGAGATCATAGAACCTTTAAAAGTTGGCAAAGAAAATTACTTTCCTCTATTTGTTCTAGAAGAAAGCAGGAATTTCCATCTCCTTTACTGTCAAGCCAAGCTTGTTCAGTATGTTTTCAAATTCGTATCGCAAATAGAAGGAAGTTACACCTTGAAGATGATGTATAAAAGGTATCGTGATTTATAAAAGATTATTTACAAAATTGGATAGAATAAAATTTCTTGTCCTTTGATTATTTATTGAATCTTCTTATAAAGAAGAGAATGAAAAAAATCTGAATGACATTTAAAGCAAAGACATCAAAATCATTCAGGTTCACTTTCTATGTTGCATAGAAGCAGAAAATAAAGCTACCATCCCTTTTTCTTTTACTTTTCTTTGCAAATCAGCTTGACAATGAAGCGATGTCAACCATATATATTTTTTCTAGTGATTAATCTGTTTTCTTTTGGACTGGATATTGCATTTCTTATAGAAAATAGTGAATTTCCTATTTGTCTTTTTTTCAGTTTGACATTTTATGAAAATGAAAAAAAATTCTGTGGGAAATGAAAAGCATTGTGGGAGCCCCTGTATCACATGTTTTTCTTAGAGCGTTCCTGTTATTACTGAGCAGGGGCATTAGCTGGGATCTGAGGTAAAGAAAGCCATGTTATGTTCTGTTGTTGAAATGTTTAATTTTGGGAGATATTCTGAAGAGGAATGTAAAAAAAAGAGCAGAAAATCCAGAAGAATCATGCTTAATTTTTCTCAGTCATAACAAAGCACGTTCCTGGGCAAGGTAAATCACCCCACCTTATACTATTAACAAAGCACTTTTCCAGGCTGCTACGCTATCGCATGTTGTCACGTCACTTGTTACATCATAAGAAGATTGTCATTCCAAACCATGAATCTTTAATCTTCTACTCTTAATACTTTCTTTCTAATTCTGGACAGACTTCAGATTCTGTAAGCAAGGGGCCTGAAAGTGGAAACTCTGCTGTCCAAATGGATAGTTACACTGTTGGTCAAATTGATAAAGCATAGTGACTTTTTATTTTCATCCACTGAAATGTTTTCAAATTCTCTGTGTTGTTGATAACGCTTGATTTGAAGCACATCCCACAGGGTATTTCAATGGTGGAGAACCCTTGTGCAGCATGTAGTACCCTTTTGCTCTGCACAATTATTACAATGACGACCTGCCAAAAAGAGAGACTTCTGTGTTCTAATACCAGGGCACTACATGACAGGCTATATATAGTACAGGCAATGGTATTACAGTCCTGGGCTTAAAGTGCACATGATGAGGCCAAGTTCATTGCTCGTATAACTCTGATGATCTCAATAGCCTTGCTGTGTGTGAGTATGAATTTGGCCTACAGTTGTGAACTTCTTTTTCCCCAATATATTCCAGCTTAAGTGTTTATTCATAGTAAAAAATGCCAGGCTGTCATTGGAATACAAGTACACTCTTCATTACTTCCCCTTTAATTATACAGTATTAAAGGATGGGAGTGATATTTTTAAACCTCACATTTAATATTCATGCCTTGTGGCAAAGGAAGGATTTAGGAATATAAACCTGTACTGGTGAGAGCTGAATAAAGAGCTACATAACTACTTCTGCCCCAAAATTGATAATTTGGCAAGATTTTGGTGAGTTTAGAAAGCTTCTTGTTTCAGTTTTTCTTTTTGCTGTCAACAAACAGACTCAATTTTGGAAAAGGCGAGCACCACATTGAACAGAAAGAGGGACACGTTAGGATGATTCTGAGACATCTTCATATCTCGGAAGTCTAATGCATGAAATTGAGGAGTGGTGTTCTGATAATTAAATTTTAAATATTCAGCTGTTCTATAGAGCTGAAAATAGGTTTTCTTACAGGCCCATTATTTATTATTTTCATACAGAATTCTAAACCACTTTTTTCATTATGGGCATTTCTTTCAAAAATCAAGAATTGGAAGGACAGGTTAAAAATGGCATCCTCTGTGCCACACAAGGGCAAAAGCCTGCTGGGGAGCACCTCAGGCCTCTGCAGCAAGTGGAGGTTTTTCATACGTGCCTCCACTGCACTGTAGTGTCAAGAGAGATTGCTCACAAAAATATGAAACCTGCATATCCTTATTTTCTGGAACAACTCTCAGAAACTGCTGTAAGCCGAGGGAGAAGTGAAATGGCCCCATGTGTCTTCGATAAAGACAGCTCCACTGAGCTGTGTCGTATTTGTAGCCACTTTTCTTCATTCTTGTGGTCAACAACAAGGAGATAAGCAGAATGAATGGCAGAATGGTGCATATTTTACACCTCTTTTTCCCACCGTCACAGAATCACAGAATGATGTGGGGTTGGAAGGGACCTCTGGAGATCATATAGTCCAACCCCCCTGCCAAAGCAGGTACCCCCCTTCCAAAACTGTCCTTGGTGCCAGCACCAGTAACATCCCAAGCCTGGTTTCTTTTTCATCAATAAGCCTGTTATATAGCAGTCTGGTATATAATTGTCATTCTTTAGAAAAATATAGCTTATGTTATTACTTTTCTTTTTGATTTCACCAACAGTTGAATTCATTTCTCATAAGACAGAGTATACTGATTAAACCATTATGCCTCAGCCTGTCGGGGTTAAGACAAGGGGTAAGACAGAGAGTAATTTATGGATCTCTCAGTGTGGAAATCATGCAAGGAAATCATAATTATAGCCAACTGTAATTGTGTGTACTGTAAGATCATAATATATTTAGATTGTGATGTGAACAGCCATTAGAAATATTACAGAGAAATGGCTAAAAAATAAGAGTATGTCTATTGCTGAGAAGGCAGCGTACATGAACAGACAGGGACAAGGTGATTCAGAGAACAGTCTGGGCTAGGATTTCCCCAGCTGCATCTGTCCTTACAAGTTAATCAGTGGTGGGTGGTAGAAAAGCGAGGCAGGCAAATTAGAACATTGAACTTCATTGTTTATCTCACATTACAATAATCCCAAATGCTACATGATACATATATATATCTCTCATATTCTGAGAATGACTTTTTCTCCAGCCTAGTCTCTTTTGTCAGGTCTGGGACATGCTTGTAAGGATGGGCAAAGGAAAATGCCAAAAGGTCTTAAGGAAGCATTTCTATTTGCAGGTAATAGAGTGCACTGATTATTTTCTCAGCCTTCCTCTGTAGAGGCATCTGACATATTACTTTGGTAATAGGTAGTTCTGCAGTTACTTAGCATTTAAGTGATTTCAGGAGACATTCTGCCATATTTCAAAGGAAAACACATATTTATCAAAAAAAGTAAGCACTCTCAGTTTACTGCAGTACCGGGTAATTATTCTACCACAAATGCCTCTTTTATGCTAAAAAACTCAGTTGAAATCAGATACCAGAAATAAAAAGAACATACCGTGTTTCATTTCAATAACGGGCAGATCAAACAGCTGCTGGACTAAATTCAAATGGATCTTGCCATCACAGAGGAGGACATCTTTTGTTTCTTCAGTAACTGCTCCATTTGAAAAACTTTTCTTCAGATGCATATATGTAAAAGAAAAGAGATTGTTAAAGGCTTAGACATTGAGCCTGAATCCTTTTAACCATTCCTCTGCTCTTACTCCTTTCAGTTCGTTTCTCATTTTGCTTTTTCTTTGTCTGTCTTTGCTACAGTTTGTAGATGACACCATCATGCAGTGCAATTCTAGGCGCAATCTCGTAGTCCCATGTGAAGAACAATAAGCCTCTTTGCTTTTTGCTTTGTGTACTTACACAGCTCAAACCTGTGTCAGCCCTGGATATATAATGTATTAGGTCACGCATATATGTGTCCATTGGGCCTTTCTGCCTGAAGGGTCAATTCAGTGGAAGGGAATATAGTGTGCCTGGAATAAAGCTGTCCAAGATGCTACCAGAGCAAATGAGCATTCTGCTCAGTTTCAGTTGTACATGTGGATGGTTTTGGTCAGCTATTCCACCCCAGTAAAATAACCTCAGTTCTGGGACAGAGAAAATTGCAGAGAGACTGGACATAGCGAGGGTCTCTCTGAAAAGCTGTCCTAACAAGGTAGCTTGAGAATCCTGCGACTTTGTTTGAGAGAGAGGGAATTTACAGCCCTGGAATTTTCTGTGACATTCACAAAGATAACACCCTTGAATATAAAGGTGGCATATTCATGCTTCGTGAAATTTAGCTGGCCTTGAGAATCAACACCTTTGTCTTCTGTCATTCTGAGCACTGCGAAGTATAAGAGCCACAAAATAGTTGAGCTAATATGGTTACGGAGTGGATATATACTTGCATTTACATTTTCTTTCTGCTATCATTTGAGAGTCATTTTAGCATTAAGAATTTTTGCAGTGACTCAATGCCATTATAAAATATATGTGAATTGGACATTTTCTTCTTAATATACTTTGCTAAATATACTTGCAATACTTTGTCCTGTGAATTGAATTTGGTTCTTTCCTCTCCATACTTTCCACCTGTGTAGTTCCCATGTGTTCCCAAGGTTCCCAAGGTTTTTTCCCTTTGGCATCCCTTATGTTTGCAAGTCCCCCCAGATTTAACATATTTGTATTTGAAGGAACAGTCTACGTGTGCCATTTCCTAGACCTTTCTGGTTTGTACATTCAGAAGGGACCCAAGTTAACATTTTAGAATGGGTTGACAAGATGCCATCTATCCTAACTCCTGCTCTAGTCCTTCTGTGTCTACTTCATATCCTTGAATCTTCCTTGCTAATATGAAACTTACAGTTGAATGAATTCACAACTGCATCTTCTATTTCTGCACATAGTGATCTAATCTTTGACTATAAAAATGTCTCTTTTAATGCTTGTCTTCATTTCTAATTGTGCTGTCTTTTGACTCGGTCACTCTCTCAGTGAACACGAGCTTTTTTTTTGCTGTGTAACAACCTTTCTAAATCAATCACTTCCATTTTTCTCTCTGTCGTAGGTATGCTGTCATGCCACCACATTGGATTCTGTAAATCAGAATGTCTACCAACTGTTTTTCCCCACTCTGTTATAAATTGGCCATGCAGATAGTCTATGGCTGATTGTAATTTATTTATGTATTAAGCTGTTTGAAGAAGTAAGAACTGTAAAAATATCTTTCTCTTAAAACATAAACTTTCAAACTTTCAAAGGTCTTCTCATCTCTTCCCTCATTCAAAACAGCCAGAAATTTGTTGCTCTGTAATTAATAGGGAAATACCTAGGGAATGCATCAAAGGAGTATCATTTTCTTAGTCATAAATGTGTAGTAACTTTTTATTACAGCTATAATACACAACAGAACTGCTTTGTCATTTTTAGGTCTCTTCAAATTATATAGTACTATATTCTATTGAACCTAAATACACTTCAAACTCAATGGGCTGAATATTCAGCAATGAGCATGTGTTTTGTGTTTACATTGCAAGGAGGCTATTTGCCTGTACAGATATTTGTGCAAAGCTTTTCATTGCTGCATATTGTGGATTAGTACATCTAACAACTACTTCATTTTCCTGAATTCAAGTTGAAATAGCAGAGTTTATTCAAACTTGTACTTCAGTTAATGATCTATAGAAAAACGTGGACTGTAAATGAGACAGGCACATTGCCTTTACCTGAGTGGTTTGTTTTTTCCCATAGATACGCTTCAACTCAAAAATAATCAGAAAACAATCTAGCTCTGCCTGTGTTGACTTGAAATCAGTTGAATGGAAATTTGTATTTAGGATGACTTTGTACTAGTATGTCTCCTACTTGCAAATTATTATTGGAACAGCCGTTAGAAGTGGAAGACATTTTTGTATATACAAAACTAGGTGGCATCTATTTTTTTAAGTTTCAAGTTGTTTGCCTTTCATCACTTGTGAGCATTCATATTAGCTATTCTCTCTGTCCTACACTTCTGTTTATAATGATAAACTTAATCATCTTTATTTTTGTCTGCTGGCAAATTCTGTCAGTTCAAGAATCTTTCTCTGTTTAATCTTCTAGTAATTTAGCCTTTTTTTGTTTAATGTTGAGTTTAAGTGATGATAACATGCCTTCTCTTTAAGGATTATGCTCACACATGTCATATCAAATAATAACTTATTTAAATGCATGCCTTCTTGAAAGGTAGGTAACTGTTGGTATTCCCTTTTTATAGATTATCAAATCCTTACACAGGAAGATTAGGGGATTCACTCAAGGTCACGCAAGTAATTTGTGACAGAGTTAGAAGTACAACTGAAATCTCAGCTCAATACTTTCCATTTTCATGCCTTAACCCAAAGACCATTTTCTTGTTGAACCTAAACGTAATCCACCTCTTCCCAAAATATGTACCTCTGGTTTTGCTGTGTTGCTGTTTATCTTCAGTTGAAGCCAGAGGACTTGCCATTGTCGAGTTGAAAGCTCTAATGTTAGTCATTTTATCCTAAACCAAAGTTTATTGGTAGACTAAGAACATATTAATTACAGAAGAAACAAATATATTTCCACATACATGAGCAGATATTTTCAGATTAAGTTTCTTTAGCCAACTTCCTGTAGTGTGTCAGGTCCAACCCTCCATCAACAAAAATCCAATAGAAACAAACCATCAATTCAATAATTGTTTTCCTTCATGCGTACCAGCCGGCCCTTTGATCAGATTTTATAACCTAGAAAGGGTCTTCTGGGTTTCGGCCAGTCCATCCCAGCGTTGCCAAACTGTCTTTCAAGACTCATGTTTTGGAGTGCAAATATATATGGGAAGAAAATAATTTACTAAGAAAAAAAGGGTTCCTGCATTAGATGTTATACTCCAGATGTCTGCATGATAAATAAACATGGCTTTTATTACTTTTTGAACCCCACTGAGCAGACAGCTAGTTCTGCCTCTTGAACCTTTTTCACTATTTATCTTGTATTTCCTAATGCACTGCCTACACTTGCCTGGATGCTGAGATCATCTTCATGAACTTAAATTCAACGACTGATGAACAGTGAGGTAAATAAGAATATGTTACTAATCAGAATTGGTTTTACTAACACTGGGTTAGTGATTGATTGCAATTTGAATGTGTCTTCTTTGCACATGGATGTCTAGAAATGTAAATGTTTTCCAGATGAGGCCTCATGGCTGTGTTGCCCAGTATTGCATTACTTACTGCTTGGACCTCACCTGTGGAGAAGCATCTGTGGATGTACCCACTGATTGCCTTTGTTCTTTTCATAAACCCATCACATTTTGATTCATAATCATCTTGGAGTTACTTAACACATGCAAGCTTTTGTCATCCTTGTTTTTTTCCTGCTAATGAATATCTAATTTATGGCAGAAATTCCTTCTATTAGTCCTGAAATATATCACTATGCACTTCATATTAGTTCATTTCAATCTTTTTTTTTTTTTAAATTCTAGATGCTAAGGTCATCAAATTACAAGTACAATATCCTGATCCTCTATTGACTACTTCCTATCCTACTACTGACTTGATTGTCTGATACGCAGATTTTATTAGCATATCTCATCAGATCATTAATGAAACTTTTATATTAGCCAGAAGATCAATCATGAAAAAAGCCTCTAGTAAATGTCTTCCATTTTCTTTTATATTACTATAACCGTTTACTATCTTCCTTCCAGCTAATTCCTTAACCACCTTATATTTCTTCTATTAATCCCTCTTCTCTGCTGTTGAACAAATAATTTCCCCCGTGGCATGATTTCAAATACTGGTATTCATTACAGGTATTTTAAATATTCTTCATATCCTTTGTGTTAATAATCTGTTCTTTTATAAATGAAAGGTATCAGGTTAATCAGTCACATATATGCACTGTAAGATGAATAGTGCTGTAGTTGCATAGGACTCTCGTTTTCATTTTCTTAAACCCTTGATTTCAGCTCTTTGTGTTGTGCTTCAGTGGTAATTTCAGTTTTGGTACCTTCGTACCCATTACTCGGCTTGCTTTTGCCTTTCTCCCACACTCATTGTGTGGGATGAGAAAAAAAACCTGGTAAATTAAATAGGTGTGGGGGATCTGGCCAAGAAGACAATGAAAAGAGAGTTAGACAGCTAAGGAAGAGACCTGAAGAGGAATGAGAAATATGATTTTTGATATTTAAATTGCTGTGTGTCATTAATTCTTGTGCAGCGTTGCCACTGGTAGTATTAATTAGGTTTGACAGCCTGCACTGCTCCCCTTTCCTGTCATGATTTCTGGACATTGCTGTGATTCCTT